TTGCTTTGTTGGTTTCAGTGCATACAGTTAGGAAGCCACACAATCAACTATGTCTTGCTGTGGATACACTCATCACAATAGAGGACCATTCAGTTTTGGTGTAGAGAAATGATACTGTCCACGTCCAATATATTTCCTCCATAATATCCTGCTGCTTCATGGGCTCATGTTTGCACTTTCCTCTTGTTGAAATTGCAGACAAGAATCACTCTGATTTATTGGTGACATCTAATATATCTGTGTTTATATTGTTGCCAATAAAGTGACTTACATGATTGGTTTTTGTTTATACAGTCTTTACTGAGGAGTCAGTCACCTGTGTTAGAACAAGGTACATTCTGCTTATTAAAATGAACTCTTGGGGTATAAGAACACTCACTCAGCTCTATCTGTCCTTGATTAAATTGCCAAATGTGCTTCACACTGCAACCGTGCATGAGAACACCTTACATTGTCCATCAATAGGCTTTTCGTTTCTATAGTTCTGGCTACAAAAAGCTGTAACAGGATAAGCCCTGGAGAATAGCATGGGCCTATTAAACGATGAAGGCAGCGAAGTTGAAATGACAGAGCTTAATGAAATTATACAATCATTAACCCAAAAGGGGAAAATGAAAAGAGTAACATGTCATAGATGTCTTAAACACACACACACACACACACACACACACACACACACCATAAATGCATGCCCACATTTACTTACATGCATATATGTATATATGTAAATATGATTATATTCAGGATCAGTTTTCTACCTGACCATTATTTGTGCTTCATTAACAGGTTTTGGGGGTTTTTGTTGTTTGTTTGTTTGGGTTTTTTTTGGGGGGTTCAGGGCAAGAAATGCTCTCAGCGTAAGGAATGGAAAATATAACAAAGGCTAAATGTAGCCTAAGGAAATGAAATGATGTATGAAAATTAATAATTAACTGGCTCATCAGATGAATTATGACTCTAGATGAGTCTATTAATGGTATTTACTAAGAAAGGGCCTTTGGCTGTAAATAGGCATTATGGAACTTGTTTCTAAAATTTTCTTTTTTTTTAATTTTTTTATTTTTTTTGTTTTTCCAGACAGGGTTTCTCTGTGTAGCTTTGGAGGCTGTCCTGGAACTCACTCTGGAGACCAGGCTGGCCTCGAACGCACAGAAATCCGCCTGTCTCTGCCTTCCAAGTGCTGGGATTAAAGGCGTGTGCCACCAACGCCCGGTGAATTTTCTTGAATAGATAAGTTAACATTGCTTTTATTTGTTTAATCTTCTTAATCCACAAGGAGCAGTGCCTGGAGCCCTGGAAAGAAGGTGGAGTCATGATTTTATATTTTGATCAAAGTTAATGCTTTTCTAGAAAATGAGTGGCCTTATTAAATGGTTTTCTACCTTAGTTTCCTTAGGGGTTAAGTCATTTCCTCTCTGACCTGAATTATGGGAGTGTGTTTTAAGAGTTTGAACATGGTCAAAAGGAAAGATTTAGTAACTCATTAGTAGAGTGAACATTTTCACTGTGAGACCCAATGGGGCATAAAAATCTTAATATGGCAAAATGGCATGTATGAAAAACCTGAGATTTATATTTCTGGATGCTCTTTGTCTTTTCTTTTAAAACTTCTTTGTCTTTATTTGCTTGTTTGTTGATAGTCGAGTAGAGTGGGCATAAGACAAAGGAGAAGCTTGTGAAAGTTTTTAAATGAAAGGAAGGGTCTGGAGAAATGTCTCAGTGGTTAGAAGCATTAGCTGCTCTTGCAAAGGACCTAGGTTCAGTTCCCAGCACACACATGGCAGCTCACAGCTGCCTGTACCTCCAGTTTCAGGGGATCTGGCATCCTCTTTTGGACTCTGTGAGTACCAGTCAGGCACATAGTGCAAATAAAACACTAATACATATAAAATATAAGTAGATACATCTTTGTTAAAAAGAGGTTCTCTCGGTGAAATTTTCCTCATTAAGTTTAGGATACTAGTAGCTGTGGTTTTTATTTTCTTAGCAGTATTGTAAGTTTATTGCTGTATTCCGTTGTTGTTAGTGCTGTCTTTGTTCATGGTGTTAGGGGAGGCCTGGCCCTCTTACCATTGCTTTAATTGATAGAGAAATAGAGTCTACATATTAATTTGTTATTATAGTACATGAGTGCTTTAAAAATAATATTTGATATATAAAGTATTAGGAAAACAATGTCAAGAGTCCTTAGTGATTTTATTTGTCTTCCCCAGGCTTCTATGAATGAAGAACTGAGTCCAGGGAGCTTGTGACCTAGGTCTCGGCTCCTTAGCTTCTTTAGTGCTTCTCACTGAACATAAATCTTTTCCTAAAGCTGAGTGGTTTATTCCTACTTTATTACCCAGTGGGCTTGAAATGATATTGTGATCAATGACTTAGCTCAAAAATACATAAAATATTACACTGTGACTAAACTAAATTGATTTCTAGGTACTAGTATCTAATGCTCAAAAGATTTGTTGACATAATTCATGTGAAAACTTTAATTTTAGGCACACTTCCCTATATAGTTTCTTTCTTTTCATCTTATATTTTTTGCATGTAGTTTCTGTCTTTTCTTTCTTTTTTCTTTCTTTTTCCATCTCAGGGGTGGTTTTGCTTAACTTAAATGCTGTTCACCATTTTTTTTTTGTTTGTTTGTTTTTTTTCCCTTGCATTAATCACTTAATTTTTCTGGCTGCTTTTTTCTCAGTTATAAAATTTAAGTACATTCTGTTTTTTCTTTAAACCTGTTTCAATCAAGAGTGCAACTTATAAAAAAATTAAGCAAAATAAATAATTCATATTGGTTCCTCACATTCCCTTCTTGCAGGTCTTTTTTCGAGACAGGGTTTCTCTGTAGCTTAGGAGCCTCTCCTAAGAGGGCCTCCTACAGAAGCTCACTCTGTAGACCAGGCTGGCCTCCATCTCACAGAGATCTGCCTGCGTCTGCTTCCTGAGTGCTGGGATTAAAGGCACGACGACCCAGCTTCCCTTCTTGCAGGTCTTAATGACCAAGCCTAATTCTGGAATACTTAGTGATGTGTTTTTTATCCAGATTTTGATGAGAGCCACTTGTATATGATATTGGGACAAGAATTACTCTTTAGAAAAAATAAAACAAACCAAAACATAAATGAGCACAGTCAACAAATCTGAAGACACTTGCCACTTGGACCTGGTTTAACTGACTCCAGTCATTTTGGACTGTTCTTCATTTTTAAAAATTTGCCAATATGGCCTATTTATTTGCCATTTTTTCCTTTTCTGTGGCTTCTGAATAAATGCTTCCTGTGAAAGTTCAGAGTGCTCAGAAACCACTATTTTATGAATGAATGGGGAATGGTTGGTTGTACAGTGTAGCTCCATGTACTCATAACTGATAAGTGTGTGGGGAGTTCTCCATAGCCAAAGAACAGACTTGGGACCAGTTTGGTAGCAATCCCTATTCTTACTGTTTCATAAAGGAATTCAGTCATGCAGGTTTGGATAACTTGGACTTGTCTTTCCATGGGCCCTGCGGTGGCAGGGGGAGTACAAGTGGTACCTGTATGGCAGGCGGAGTTGTTGAGTGTCTCATTGGATTGGCAAAGCTAAATGTCACCAAAGGATGTGATTCCTGTCAAAACAAGAGTAAACTCCGAATTTTACATTTTAATTACATACAAAGTGCCTCAACACAGGCAAGAGTGGTAAATTTTATGGAAAGCACAGTGAACATTTAAATATTTTTTTTGTTTTCCTAAAATGGTGAAAGAAAAACAATATCCTTGAAAAAGTTCCCATTCCTTGGTAGCCTTCCCATGAAGATTGGTGCAGTCATTTCTTTTGTAGTTTTTGGAGTTGAGTTGAAAATGTTTGTTCAAGACCTCAAGTCTTGATCATACAGGGAAAGAAGTCCCAAGACTTATCCTATTGAGGACATATGGATATTATTGACTTGTTCTCAGTCTTCATTTCCTGTGTTTGTTCAGCCGTGGCTACTTCCTGTGACTATCTTGTCTCCATAAAAGATACATAGTGGCTGTTTCAGACATATTCAGTAGAGGCAACATAATGTTACTTGGCCACCTCCTTGGATCTACTCTGGGATCCTCACGCTCCAGAGTGGATCTCTTCTTTTCATGATTTAGACCCTGGAAGTGTTGATGCCATCACATACAAGTAGAGGTAAACTCTGTGGATACATTTGTACTTTTTTTTTCTGCTCATTGGAGGCTCCCTAACACAATGATATATAGGGTAATACAGTAGGCTTTCTGGGAACACACTGGAACCCCACACTTAAGAGCTCCTTTTCTCCCATGCTTTCTAGGAGATAATGTTTATAGTTCTCTCCTTTCTCATCTCCCCCACTATGCTTTTCTAGTTCCATAACTCAGTATCAATATGGATCTAAGGTCTTGATGCTGCTGTAAGTATTTAAATATAAGGATCTATGAAAACTAAAATTCCCATGCCTAGAGTTCTGATCTGCAAACCTGGGTACCTATTAGAATGAACATTGTGTTGGCTTTGTCTTTGTTGACTGGGAACTTAAGAAGTTTAGTCTCACAGCTCCTGGAGGTTGGTGTTCTGGATTTCCAAAGACACTGTAGGGAAAATGAAGTGTGTGGCCAGATCCTCTGGGAATAGAGTAAGTTTCCCCAGTAAGCAGTTCCCAGTGGACTGGTAGTAGCTGCCGAGAGCATCATCTTGAGAAGGGCACAGTAGCAAACAGAACAATGTCGTGACCCATCTAATCCATGCCTCCCATGAACGCAGAAGAGCTGTGCTTTTTATGATCTTGTTCTACATTAAGAGGAGAGTTTGCCAACTGTGTTTCTTTTTGCCCTGGTAAAAATGCTATACAAGTTGAAAAATTCCTGTGTCTTATTTTCAGTTTTACCTTTCCCAACACCTGTATTTGCTTTTGTTTTAAACAGACTTATCACCTATCCCATGGATGAGTTACTTGACTTTCCCCTAATGAATCACTAGTGCTGTTGGATATTGACCATCTTGGCCTCAGGGCTTTCAGAATGAATGGAAGGTCCTGTGGCATGAGTCTGCATCGTACATCAAGAACCCCACAGGGGCCTGGCTTGTTCAGTGGTCAACATATTCCTCCCATCAGAGCCTCCTCAGGCCCTGCGGGACTCTCATCCTGTGCCAGCACACCCAGCCCCATTATTGCAAGTCTCACTAACAGCCCCCACCTGAAGATGTCCTCCGGAGCAGGGATGGCTCCTCAGAGCAACATGGCTGTGAGCCCCCTCCATCTGCCTGCCTTGAGCCCCAGGAGACAGTTACTCACCAATGGGAAGCCTCAATTTCAGGCCACTCAGGCTGATGGCATGGCAGCACCACTTACTCTAAAGCACAAGCAGCAAGAATTTGGAGACCACTTTTCTTCAAATCCCGAGAAAGGTAGGATTGTCATTTTGGAATCTTTTAAAAATGGGAATGATTTATCTCCCCCCATGTCTGTTCACTGCCAGAGAGTTCTATCGAAAATATATGTAATTCAGCATCAGAGTCAAAGTTCACCGTCTCATGCTTGGTAAGGGGTCGGGTGTGTACTTGTGTATAAATGCTAGGTAGAGTGTGTGACACCTTGGAATGTGAAACAGAGTGGAAGGTAAAGTAGAAAGATCAGCTTAAAAGGGAAATAGTGAGGAAGGTGATGGTAAGAGGGCAGGAGCAAGGTGATGAAGTCTGTCTTCTGCAGAAATGTGGCTCTGCCCTGGCTTATGGGGGTGGTGGGGTGGATTCTACAGGCTATGGAGGCCGGTGCTTGGAAGGAAAGGATTAAAAGGGAGACATTGTAATAACCAGAAAAATGAGGAGCAAGTAAATATAAATAAGAAAATTAAGAGTGAAATCAACAGAGGGAACCAAGCTAGAATAATGTATAACTCACCCCCCCCCCCCTTATACTAGAGATTGAAACCATGGCCTTACAGTGACATGCTAGGTAACTCCTCTACTGATGAGCCCTATCCCCAACAAGAATAATAAACATGTATTTAAAATTTGTGAGGAACTAGAAAACCTCATTATTTTGAAACACAGCATGCATTTTCAACTCAGTAGTGGTTGGGTTACCATATATTTCAAATTAAAGAGTAGTTATTGAGGACTGGTAATGTATTTGAATGACACTTTCTCTAGCTACTGGTGTGGTGTGCACCTATTGAATTTATGTTGCAGATGGCATGTGTGTTTAGGCTAGGAAGAAAAAGAGCCTGTATCCTACATGATACAGCTTTTTATGTAAAATAGCTCCGAGTCTATTCCTTAAGGACTTTATCATATAGTATTAAATGTTTATATTGAAAAATTCTTGTCCTGTTCGGTAGAGTTATTTATTAGCAGGCTTCTGGACAGCCTCTTACCTGGCTAATCAAGGTGAATAATGATTTATAACAGACATGTAGCCAAAGACTTGTTTGCCTTGGTGTCTGTGCATTTTAGTGCATACTGTATTTGGCCTAAATGAAGAGATTAAAAACAAAACAAGCCGGGCAGTGATGGTGTACACCTTTAATCCCAGCCTTTGGGAAGCAGAGGTAGGTGGATCTCTGTGAGTTCAAGGCCAGTCTGGTCTACAAAGCAACACAGAGAAACTCTCCTGATTCAAAAAAAAAAAAAAAAAAAAAAAAAAAAAAAAAAAAAAAAAAAGGAAAAACAAGCAAGCAAAAAACCCACAACAGTAAACATACATATAGCTTTTATATTTCTCTTATACTTTCTTAATCTCTTTTTTTCTTATTTCTCTTTAGTTCTGTTTGGAGTTGTTTGCTCTCCTAAAGGTACTAATATTTAAGTTCAGGTAAAGTTTCCCTAGGGGCCCTTTTTAGACTAGTCTATCACCGTGAGACCACAGTGCTCATGGAATTGATTGAGCCCTATTTCTTCCTATCGGATGCTTCTGATTGGTTTTGGAGGGAATCCAAAATCAAAGTCCCCATGCTTGCATAGCAAGCACTTTATAGACTGAGCCACCTCTGTAGCTCCATCTGGCAGCTTTTGAGAGGGCTCCATGGCCACATGTTTGGCAGATCTAGGAGGACAGTAGGATATGTAAGCACACATTTGGAAAGTGAAGTGCTAGTCTTGTAACTGTACTCAGTTGTGTTTACGAGAGAGTGTGAGTGTATTCATGCATGAACTGGCATGGCATGTATGCACATGGGGGAGCTTTCTAGCATTTGTTTTGGGTGGGGAGAAATAACACAGTCCAAGCCTGGAGGGATGGTGAGATTGGGGGCGGGGTTCTGATTACTGCCTAGCTGCACATGGCTTGGAGGTGTAGAGTTTTAGAAGAGCTGATGCTGGACAAAAGTAAACAGAATGCAGCATATGAAGATCATGAGTGACTCACCAAGAAATGGAGATGTGTGAGGCTGCTTTGACCTTAGGACAGCATGTAACTTGGAGAATACCAGTGGAAGCTCCCAGAAAAAGAACTTGAGAATGAGAGAGGAATGGAGGGAAGAGAGGAAAGAGAGGGAGGGAGACAGCATGAGAGAGAGAGAGAGAGAGAGAGAGAGAGAGAGAGAGAGAGAGAGAGAGCTAGAAAATGAATGAACAGAAATTGTCTTATTATAAGGAATTTGCTAATAATAAGATTGTTGTGGTAGCCCAGGAGAGTAGGTGATTTAATTCCAGTCAGAGCAGAGGGCCTGAGAACTAGATGAGCCAATGGTAGAGTTCATGTTCAAAGGCCAGTAGGCTCCAGACTCAGGAAGAGTTAGTATTTCAGTGAGTCCAAAGGCAAGAAGAAGAAACCAATGTTCCAGTCCAAAAGCAACCAGGCAGAAAAGGGTTGCCCATCATGTAGGGAAAGGGTCAACCTTTTGTTCTGTTTAGACCTTGGGATGATCATCGGAAGTAGTCTGTCATCATCAAGGAGGGCAATCCCCTTCCTCAGTCCGCTGATGTAAAGTTAATCTCATCCAGAAACACCCCAACAAGAACACCAAGAATAATGTGTCACCAAGCATTGTTGTTCATGTAGAGTCCCACAAAGTTAACCATGGTAAGGCCCCATTGTTTTGGGATGGTGTGTAGTTTACACAGTAATAAGAAGAGACTTTTCTGAGTTCCAGAACTGACTGTACTAGCTCTTGAGACTGTATCCAGGGAATTTAAGTTCTTGGGATGTTACAGGAGAACACTGGTGGGAAGTGTAGATTTGATAGTGTTATTTCTCTTGATTACAGATTATATTATTCCACTAGCCTAGAAACACAGATAACAATGGCTTCAGCATTCTGTGGTGTGGATTCCAAATGGTACCCTGAGGTCACTGGAAACTACAGTGAACTTCAAGAGTCCTAGGACACTTTAAATTTTGAGGGGATCAGAGAGATAGATACATAGCATTCTTTGCCCACCAGGTAAACTTATTGCTAGTGGAGGGGGCACTTTCCATTGTCAATTTCATTACGGTCCTTTTGGAGATCTTTGCGAAGCTGCAGTCTCAGGGTAAGTAAGCACTTTTTCTTCCTGTTCCTGAAAGCATTCTCACCGCAGCCAGAAGAAGCTAGATAAGCAAATGTCCATCACAAGATGAATGTGTAGGCGTAATGTGGCGATGCAGGTATACACCACAAGAAGGAAATTCTGGCACATCCTATAGCACACAAACCTCCAGTAAACTGTGCTGAATGAAATATATCAGCTTCAAAAGCATACGCATTTTGTGAGACCTCTGGTATAAGGACTTGGAACGATCAAGTTGATCTAGATGGTGGTGGTTGCTAAGAGCATGGGCAACAGGATTGAGAAGCTAGTAATCAGTTGGTTCAGAGATTTGGTTGGCGGTGAGAAACATTTGGGGTTTGGTAGGTAGCTTACTATTTAATTTTTAAAGTTATTTAATTATTTAACATTTGGGGTTTCCTTTGAGAGAGTCTCAAAAACTGACCTGGCATTCACTTTGTAGCCTAGGCTGGCCTTGAATGTGAGGCAATTAGCCCTTGTCTACTCCTTGTCTCTGCCTTCTAGTACTGAGATTACTGGCATGAGTCACCACACTGGGCTATTTTCCTACAGTTTTAGGCAGCAAGTATATGTGAGCAGGCTGCCAGTGTGGTGAGATCTGCCTTATTCTAAGGTCTGGGATGTGGTTAGGGTATACGACGGAGCTTATATCCCTCCTGTAATGATGCCTATTGAATCAAACAGGTATGCTTTTTCTTTTAATTTATGAATATTACTTTTGCAAGCAGCTAATAAGTTGCTAGTACATAAATGCTGTTAAGTGTTAACACCCAACTCCTTAATAAATGTGGCTGTTAGGTGTTTCTGTGGGCCTGAGGGGACCATAAAAACACAGAGACACTCAGCTGGCCACATCTTTGAGTGCCCAGGGCCTGTCATGAGGCCATTTTTCTTATGTTCAACATGAGGCCAATGTTGGCTTTGCAGTTCTGCACTGTCAGGCCTGGGACAGTGCAGTGTTCCTCTTGGCTGCACAGTGGCCACCTCAGTCCAGCTCTGACCAGAGTCTGCCTTCTGAGAAGAGGGGGGAGGAAGGATAAAAGGCAGAAATAGAAACAGATAATTTCCCTCAATTTTGTACCTTTTGAACAGCTTGCTGGGAGCCCTATCTTGCCATCTCTACCTAAATTAGCCAGTCACCTAATAAACAACTAATTAATGAGAAAAGCACATTGTTTGGTGTCAGTTCTCTCTCTCTTTTTTTACTTTACATTATTTTGTATTGTGTTCTATTATAACTAAATAACTAACTAGTTAATTAATACTTTTTTTTTGAGAGAAGGTTTCACTATGCGGCCTTGGATAGCTTGGAACTTAGTACGTGGACTAGACAGGCCTTGAACTTAGTGATCCTCCTGCCTCAGCATACCGAAGTGCTGAGTTTACAGACATGTGCCACTATACCTAAATTAATAGATTTGACTTTTCAGCATTTTGCTACATTTATCTTTTTGAAGTACTTTGAACCACTTGAAAATAAGTGACAGGCACTGTGGTGATATATTACTTATGATTTATTGAAGCTTGCCTGAGGATTCAGAAAGCAAAGTCAGCCTCAAGCTGAAGAGATCAGGCAGTGGTGGCACACACCTTTAATCCTAGGACTGAGGAGTCAAAGGCAGATGGATCTCTGTGGGTTCAAGGTCACCCAGGACTATATGATATTGAATCAGCCTAAGAGAGTAACAGAGCTCATGCCTTTAATCTCAGCACTAGCGAGATATAAAAGAGCAGGGTCTTCAGTAGTCAGTTTTAGGATTCTCCAGCCACGTTGAGGAGAGCATAGCAGTCTGAGGTTTGGTGGAGCCAGGACCACCTTTCAGTCTGAGATAGAGGTAAGAGCTAGTGCTGCTTTGCTTTTCTGATCTTCAGCTTGAACCCAATATCTGTCTCTGGGTCTTTTATTTTTCGTGCAACAA